ATCGCCCGCACGATCCAGCCGTATTCTGTGAACATTTCAACTAGGTTGACTTCAGACTCGGTCGAGGTGGTGTTAACCACATTTTCATTCTTTGCCAAATTGTAGAACTCCGACACTGTTTTCGTAGACCAACCTACACCATACGCACCGTCGACCAACGGTTATCGTGTTCCTTGATCTAAAAGGAGCCTTCGACTCAGCTGATCGTGAACTCCTTTATGGGTTCACTTTTTCGCGAAGAAATGCCGCAGAAGTACGTGAACATACTGAGTTTACTCTACTCGCATACTTCTGGTAGCATAAGGGTCTACGGCGAGTCGAGTAGGTCGTTCGTAACTAACAGTGATGTTCGTCAAGGTGCCCAATTTCGCCATTCTTGCTTAACTTCGTCATAGACGAAGTACTGGAGAACACACTAAGTGGTCTAATAGGCAGTCGGTGAAAAGCTGTGTGATTTGGAGTACGCTGACGACATCGTTTGCTTGTTCGAATGTATGGAGGATGCACAAAGAGCACTTAACAGATTAGCAAGTTCTGTCGCTTCGTTCGGCATGCGCTTTTCACCTTCAAAGTGCAGAGTGCTGCTGCAAGATTGGGTGTCACCGAGTTCTGTTTTGAAACTAGACGGTCAGGAATTAGCTGAAGTTGACTGTTTATCCTACTTAGGTATCTGCGTGACCAACGACGGTAGCGCATCGAAGGAGATAACCGCCCGCATTTCCAAGGCTCGAGAAGCGTACGCAGGACTAAACCAATTTTGGCGTAGACGTGACGTTTCACTGAAGTTGAAAGGTCGCGTATACTACCCCACGGTACCATCAGTTCTGCTTTACGGTTATGACACCTTGAATTTGCGGGTAGAAGACATCCGTCGCCTAGTGGTTTTCGACATTCGATGCTTACGTAGTCTGGCCCAATTGAGAAGGAGTGAGCGGGTTAGTAACGTAGAAGCAAGTCATCAAGTGTTTGGAAATGCATCGAATAAGAACTCGCTATCGCATCTAGCTCAATAGGCTCCGTTGGCTAGGACATATTTTGCGTAAATCCGACGGTTGCCCTATGCAGCGCGCCTTATTCGTAGTGGCTGTTGCAGGCTGGAGAAAGCCACGTGGAGGCCAGCGGATGACGTGGAGACAAGGCATGAAAAAATGTACAGAGCGATCAGGTAGAGTAGGTGTTTCTCGTCCTCGGGGCTGGGGTTCAAAAGACTCCAAAACCGCATGGTTGGAGACACTGAAGGTCATGGCTGTAAACCGACAGCAATGGTGATCATACTGTCACTTCTTATCGGACCAGAATGCTTGAAATAGTATGTGTGCACAGTTGGACTGTTTACTCTGTGTTTTGACCATAAAGCTTCGCTTTCTTTTCCCGTCCATAAAACGAAGTTCAATCCCTGTCCTCCTTACACATTATCACTTATCTTGTATGCATTGTGAGTTTGGCAGCGATCAGTGAAGTTCGCTTTAGTGTATTACGCTGTACGATAATGAATGATCATGATAAACCTACCATTTCAATCTTCCTCGAACTAAAAGCGGCTACCGACCCAGTCGACTGCCTTAAGCATTGCCGTGACCAATTTGAAACATACGTGATGCCTTCACGACATCGGGCTGTTTGTGGAAGGTTAGGTTTATGGCGCAGCGGTTCAATTGGGACTGCTATACTGTGCTCAAATTTGGCCAATACGGGGGCACGATGAAGATTGACTGTCGGTGTTTGAACACCGCGCTGTCTGCATCGCATTGCACGAATCTGGTGGGGTAAACGGATAAGCACTGTTGAATTCAGGTTTAGGTGGTCGCCGACGTCCACTGGAGCAAGTGGTCGACCTCCATAGATTACTTTGTTTGAGGCACGTGTTGCGCATGTCACCGAATCGGTTACCATGGCGTGCGGTGTTTGCCGAAGCAGGTAGTAGGTGGGAAAAAGCCAAGAGTGGTCAATTTGAGACCTGGAATGCGTATGCAAATATTGACCTAGAGACTTGGTGTTAGCTCCCTGAATGGGAACATCGGGATCAATGTTAACAATAGTTGGCGACGTGGAGTGACATGTTCGAGTGTGGCATCTACCCATTATACGTGCATACTTAGTCTGCCAGAATTCTCCATATTCTCCTCGACAGTACTTTCAGCTCTCCAATCTTCCTGGTACCTCTTCATCCAAATCAGCGGCCAAAAGGCAGCAACCAAAATCGTCGCATGAAAGTGCATGTTGAGTGGTTATCAACGCGTCAAAATTGTAATCCTCAAAAGTGTTGTACTAAACAAACAAACCGATTTGTTTCCACTTGTAGGAACACTTGGAACATCGGGTTCTTGCAGTATTGTGAGGGAATTTTAGGTGACGAGAGAACATCTGATTTATTCCAGTTGAATGTTTCAACGTGCCTTTGTTGTGCTTTGTTTTACTCAGCGATAAGACACCATGGTTCTAAACCCGAACGGAACTGATCAGACGAAATCTCTTTCTCTCTCATTGCAGACCAAATGCGCATAGTGTTAAAACGAATATTGCTTACGAGGCCATACAGTTTCCGCTTAGCGATGGACCTTGGTAGTCTGTCCATGTAATAGCTAGTTTGTGTTAGAACTTTGTTTTGTGAGGAGAACGACCTGAGTGGATTGATAGTTTATGAAAAGGAAACCTGTTCAAAGTCAATAAGATAAGATAAACGGTCAAAGAAGGATAAGGGCATGCACATCATGGAGATAGGGTCCCGAATTGAGTGATAATAAGCAATCTAAGATAGTGAACCAAGTTCACTTCTTCCACTGGAATGTACACGAGACCAATCGAACTGACACGTCTCATCCGCTATCCGTGTTGTCTGCTGTTTCCAAAATTGGTTCCGCAGTTGATTGATCTACAATCGAATCTTCCGGGTCGGAATTGGTTACGCTCTCCACGGAACCAGACACCGAATCCAGCGGGGTGGAATGAATTTCAAATCGTTTACGCCAGAAGTTTGTCAATGGGGATGGACCGATCACATCGACTGCCGAAACTTCCGGATGCTCGTCTCGAATATGTGCCTCAAGGAACCAACGACGTCTTTGTGCCATCTGTTTGGAACACACAGGACAGAACTGTTTCAGGAGGAAAAAGGAAACAAATGGGGATTTGAATAAATACAAACCGGCGAGTGAATATCAACAAACAGCTAGTATTCAACAATGATTGGAAGAACGAGAACGGCTCATTTATGTTACTTTTCGCTCACCATCGATGGTGAACCATGTTTCTTACGCTGCTGCCTCCGTACTTCCAAGTAAATCTTGAGGACCGGCCACAAAAGTAATTTGCATGCACTTCCAGATGAGCGGGAATTCTTTCCCTCTTACTCACAAACACACACCATTTGTCTTTCTCACGCATGCACTTCAAAAATGAAAACGACGCGCAAATTGAAATTTCCAATACACCACCAAACACCATCTCAGTTATCCACTATGTTTGGATAAAACTGTAAAAGTAAACTAGTCGAGATTTGAGTAACTGAGCCTCGTCTTATTATTACCATAGAAGTGCATCAATCGCGACGATTCCGCACAATCTGGTGAACCGAGTACATACGCACAGTTGAAGTGGCTGTATTTTGAAAAGCTAACAGACAAACTCTACTTACAACACAATTGGAAAGCCAAGAATGAAACAATGCGTGATTGATACTTTATTTATTTATCTATTTATCTACAGGTGTTTTCTTGTGTCTACCTGATTTGGCGCTATTTAATGAAGTGTCAGTTTGAATTCGAGTTCTGACTATTTCATGCAACCAGTTCCCTTTAACAATTTCATAACAGAAAGAAGTACCAGTCTAGTTACCCCACAAGTGTGTAATAAAGAAACAGGTGCAGTGGACTTGACTTCATGAGTCGGAGACAACCTGCCCCTAAAATGGTACGAGGAACTTACTTCCGGATGTATCAAAATGAAATACTTGTGAGAGATGATGATAATGATTATGCAAGTTTTCTGACCTTTATGCATATTAATGCCTAGTTATACACTAGTGAGACAAAGTTGAAGGTTCATTATGCAGTAATGAGCACAAGAAAATAAACGGTGGCCGAAATAACGCCTACGTGGTAATGGTCTCCTACGCGATGGTCACATCTTATTTCCCTCTTCAGTTTTTTCAACAACCTCGTATTTCACGTGAAGTAACGCTGTGTATAACACACTTTGCGGAGTACTTCTTCCGTTCTCTGTTCGGGTGGGATTTGAACCACTAACCTAATGGTCGGACTTCGAAACCCTTACTTGTGAGGTTCACTACATAACAGTCGTATACTTTCGGATTAGCCCACCTGATTTCAAGGGCAAATGCTCTTGTATTCAATGGTCTCCTTCGCGTTTGAATGCATGAATATAAGCTCGGAGTCGCAAACTCTTAAACTACCTAGCTAGTTTTTTTATTTTCCAAAACTTAGTCACATATATGTGGATTGATCGCACATTTGTACTCCACGGGTACATTCAAGAGGAGAAGAGGGGTAGCATTATTTGTAATAGACGACATAAGGAAGCACTCGTCTGTATGCCTGAAACAATTCTTTCGTTTAGTTACACACACTCACAAATCGTCAGTTTGTCCCCGTTCCGAGTTTATTCAGCTTTTTTGAGAAATTTTCGGAACCGAATTCCTCCTAACAGGTGAGAAGGGTGACAGAGAAAGGAAACGACACGGAACAAACATTTCCACGCTCTTTCGTGCATGAAATACGATGATATCAAGCGAGCGGATATTTTAAGCACTCGCCAATTAGCTATTCCTTTAGTATATTGAGCCCAGTCCGTGCATTGAAGAAGAAGAAGAAATGAAATTACTGTTTGCGAGTCTGGATACGAACCTCAGTTGATCTCTAGCACTGTTCTTCTTCTTCTGAACAACCCACAAAAATGTCAATGGGGACTTCGAATTTCGAGCTCTTAGGCTCGATCGAACTCACTAGGACTATCAGTGAGATGACACAAAAAAGTGGTTCCTGATTTTCTTTTCACACACACCCTTGCTGTGGCCAGAGCACCTACCTACCAAGTAAGGCTTGGAAAAATTCGCATTAATACAGTTGTAAGCAAGTATACTATCGCCGTAGAACGACACATGTAGTTCCGACTGAGGTTTGATGCAATTCCTCACGCCCAAGGTCTTTTCGCACGGATTAGCTTCTGCATCCGCTTCCGACGAAATGGGGGTGTCATGAACAACTCATCGTTTTGTTTTCTAGTTGTTACTGTACTCGCGGAAAAAAGTCCTGAACAAGCCAAGTCAAGACAAGTTATATGCACCTGGGGAGCGAACGTTCAGCAGTGTATCTAAGGACAAGGTTGCAAAGAGTATATGCTGTTCAAAAGGTAAAAGGAACAAAAAATGCCCGTAAGTAAAACAAATCAAATTTAGCGCAAAATTGTATCCCTTCGGATTGGTGGTAGCCTGTAGCCTTGTTGAACAAGAAGAAGATGAAACCACAAACTTATTCCCTAAGTGGTGGTAAGAGTAGGCGAAAGTTTAAATTCGGAGTACACACGCTCAGTGACCATGGGTTTTCCTAATTTGTCAATTGAATGATGATTTTCATCACACATCGTACTCTACTCGGCAAACATTAAAACCAACATCAACAGCCTTAGTCATATCATAAGATCCGGGAAGATCCGGCAGAACAAAATGCTCCCCTTCTTCAGTCGAATGGAACATGAAAGAGAGAGAACAGTACAACCAGTTAGGAGGAGTCCAAGTTACTAACTAAAGGATACATTTTGGATTAACGGCCAATTGCTCTGATCTGAATGCTTGGTGGGGACAATCGCGAACCGGCAAGCAAATATTTTCAACACGAGGACACCGGAAAACAGTCTAAGACAGAACAATACCAAACATGCTAATCCAAATCGGTATCGATCATGTTTTACCTATTAACAACAAAATGGAGATTGTGCCTAAACAAAGTGTGGGTACGGGAAACCAGCTTTGGGACTGAGTAGGTGCAGGAGGATGTCAACACATTTACCGGTAACTGACAGAGAGAGAGAGAAAGGAATGGGACAATGACCAGCCGAAACTACTATTTAAACTATATTGCATGGTCAAAGAGGTCATGGTTATTGAACAAGGGCACCCAATTACCGATGAAGTTCCGCGAAACGGGAAGATTATCAAGGTAACCATGGGAAAAAAGACTCGAGACAAAGTTCGCATTCGCGAACAAACACCAGAATTGATATGTGGGGAAGATATCTGTTTTTGCAAGAGATAGCCCAATCCCATCGATAAAATTGTCACCCGCGTGACGTGGTCCCGGTGAATTTGAGCCACATTGCGCTGGGACAATTCAAAGCTGACAACTTGGGCTCAGAATGTTGGTCATTCCTGCAATATACGTGACACGAAACTGGAGGTCACGTGAACAATGTTAGGGCGCGCGCACACATCAACTCTAGCCTTGGTTCGAAACAAGTCCAACAACCGAATGACTGTCTGTTTAGGATCTCAATCAAAGTAGTAAATCAAAGGGATGATCATTTTTCTGGTCTGCTTTACCACCAAGATTTTCCGTTCAACTTGATTAAAATGTTCCATTCCTTGAAATAGTCGCGCTAAAAACCGTTTCCAATGAAGACACTGGATTCGAAGACGGACAGAACTCGAAATGGAGCGAGTAAGTGGGATGGTAGTTAAAGTGTACGAATACTCAAGTTTTTAACCGAGCACGCGTCGTGAAAATGTAAGTGTCGTTAGGACAGGGTTTAACGAGCGTGTGGTGAATAAATAGTCAAATGTGAACACACCTGACACTATATATTTCCGCGTTTTTGTTTCTATTATTCAGTTTGTCGTAATCAAGAATGAAACCTGCTGTAACATGGTCAGACTGTTCGGCCACCACCCGAAACCCGAACAGTTTGACAAGGAACCGAATATGGTGATGGTGGTCAAACAGCACAGGACACTAAATTATCGCCCCGGAGGACTTGTGTTGGAATCCCACCGCAACCGTCTGATTACCATACTATGTGTTCCATATGGCAGCCCTTTGATTGACCGTTTCCCCCTTCCTGAAACTTTCATCATTATATATTCAGTAAAGGGAAAAAGCGCATGCGGAGCTGTCTATCGTCGACTTGGGGTAGCGTTGACAGGGTTCAGTGTGTACCAACGATAGTCCCGAACCATCCGATTATCACCAGTCCCGTTTCAGTATACAAATTTCGTTGGATCATAACTAAGGGGAATGTTACAGGTTGATGACTCGCATTTGTGCCATAAAAACACACAACTATACGTTCCAACCGGATTCAAGTTCACTGGTTTGATTCTCCGGGTGATTGAACTCGAGGTTATTGGATTAGGGGTAATCAGTAACCCCGGGGCAAAATGTACTCACAATCGGACATTGCTCTCATTCACCAAATGATCCGCTCGTTTCCCTGGTCAAACCAGGAGTTATATCCACGAATAAACTGATACTATACCGTAGTTATAAAGTTGTGGGGGGAGGGTGATTTGTGACCAATGGCTCTCTAATGACCTCCTGATGTAGTTCAGGTTGATGAGTTCTTTCTCCGGGCTTGTCAGCACATCAAAGAGTCAACCCCTTTTGGAGGATATCGATTCTGAGGGGCGGGGGGGGGGAATGGAAAAACCGAACTGCCCTCACTTCCCCAAAGTTCAGTGAGAATTAGATGATAGAACCGGGTCGCTTTGAGAAAGGGTTACACAATGTGCAATTCCGATTGATCCTCTGCAAATGAATGACGCATCGCATAACTGTTTTCCACAGCCAGACCCCGTATTACATCCATGAATCGAATCGACCGAATCTTTGTGGAGCTGTAAACACTTTGGACATCATTATTGTGATTAGTTGATCAACGCGACTAATTAATCCACAATATAGTAAATTATGCGTGAAGTGAAAAGATCGGAAGCACTGGACAGCTGTTTCGACCTGGTTGGGTCACATGAAATAATCAGTCAGGTTGTGAATGTTTCTAACCGAGTCATAACCCCGGAGGCTAGTGCTGAGTTGAGCAGAGTCCGTGGCCCGCAACAAACTTTCAAAGATGGGTTGTGCTATATCGTGTAAATGGAAAATGAAAAACGGTTTGATCAGCTGCTCGGTGGCGTAGTGGGTAGCACGCTTGCCGTCTGCCCACGAAGTCCCCGGTTTGATCCTCTGTCGGCTCGATGGGTTCGCACTGCTGGTGAGACCCAACCAGGTCGAAACAGCTGTCCAGTGCTTCCGAGCTTTTCAGTTCACGTTTCATTTGCTATATACACGACGGATTCCCATTTGAAATTTAACCAAATCCTCCATTACTCACATGAAATAACCCATAATAGTATGACCATTCTAGTATTACAAATCCTTTCGCCGGTGCCTCTCGTTTGGACAGTCTTAACCGATACAGGCGTCAGTATGGTTGAGAGAATGGGTGTCTTAGGTTGTACTGGTCACTCATCCCTTGGGCCATACAAAATGTTCCTTTACGAGCAAGTGTCTCAATCATCTTCTGCTGAGAAAGTCCTAATTGTTGCCTTCATGGGGCCAAGGCTTTTTCCCGCCAAAATGTAAGGACCACAGATTCATCTCCAGGGTTATGACCGGGTTGGTGAACCCGTGGCAGTTCACCTAGGGAAGTTGGCTAAAAGCCTGGATTCCAAACCAACCGAGAAGAGGTGTACGAACCCCGTACACATACAAAACTTCCTGGTGGTGGCAGCGTTCACCGGCTCAGTTGGGCATCGGGATGTATTAGGCACCTTAAACGGTTGACCCCATCCAAAGGGTGTATGGTCAAATGAACTGGACACCGGCCCCCTATGGATTGCGGTTTTCACACACCACCCTGCTGCCTTGCGAGTCAAGCTTTGGCTTGTAAAAGTCTTTGGTTATGAAGTCCCCAAGAAAATTTAGCTGCTTTGTCCTGAGTAACCTGGCAATATCACATCCAGGAGCAAGTAATTTCGTTTTTCTTAGTTATAGAGATTATTGTGTAGTGCTTACTTTGACCGGACTCAGACGCGTGTGAAATATAATCCAATCAATCCTACCAACTCCACGAGTGATCACTGATCGAACAATGGTTACTGGTAGTATAACCGGATGAATAAAATAAACAGGGCGCACATGTTTCTGTTTTTTATGGAGGTGGTAGACTACTTTAACGCCTGTGACCAGCAGTCCCAAATGGGAGCAAGAGCACTACTCTACTCTATAAGCTGTCACGAACGTTCTGCTTGGCTAAGATAAAGCTTAAACAAACCGGTCTCTCCCCTCTCCCTCTATCACACACACACACACACACACAAACAAACAAACACATACACAGTTCCACAAAGCCTGGACAAGGAAAGCGATAAGTGAAGCTATTTGTGATCAGTACAAATTGGTAGACCAACCTGTGGATGTTTGAGGCGTAGATGTTGTTTACGTAGTTTGTTTGAACTGAACCGTTCGTCACACTGCGGACACGGATGGGACGGAATGAAACCGTGAGTGGTCATTCGATGACTGCGCAAAGCTTGCAGTGTGGGAAACCCGGTCGAGCATTGCTCACACACGTGTTTACGCCACAGTTCCTTCAACCGCTCTTGTTCCATTAGGGTCTGAGGAATATGTGATGTGGAAGAGTTGTTGAGCGGCTGCCTGTGCTCCATATTCTCTGTGATCGTTTTGTTGCTGGTGGCTGTACCACTAGCTACGCCATCGATCGAGGAGTCTTCGGGCAGTGAGGAGGACTGTTTGGCTGATTGAGCACTCTCCGTCGCGTGTGACCAATGCGTGCGCACATGACGATTGAGTAGGGATTTGGAAGCCAGAGCGAAACCACACAGACTACACACATACGGTCTCGTGCCAGTGTGAGACCGCATGTGTTCGTTCAAGTGAACACGTTGGCGGTACGCTTTGGCACAATGCGGACACGCATACGGTTTCTCGCCGGTGTGAATACGTATGTGTTTCTCCCGAGCACTGGCTCGGCTGAATGTTTTACCGCATTCAGGACATCCGAATCGACCGCTATTGTTGTGCCGGTCCATGTGTTCTCGCATGGAACCTCGACGCATTCGTTTGTCACATATTAAACAGCGAGTCATTTCGCGATCTTTCTTATACGGTTTCCTTTTGTCACCCAGATCTGATTCTTCTCTATCGGGGTACGGTCTAATCAACGGTGGAATTGATTCGGGTGATGGTGCCGGCCTTGTTGATGGCTTCACTGTTGTTGATGCTGGTGGTGGTGGTGGCACTTGTGCGGGTCCAATGAATGACGGGGATGGGGATGACCATGTTGCTGTCGTTGTTGATGAGGTTTGCGGTAACTGTGTTGGGCGTGACGAATCCGTTTCCTTGATTGTGCCAATTGACTGTGTACCAGCCCAAAGCATCGATCCAAGGTCAATTGCAAGAGTCGGGATTGTGGGAAAGGCCAATCCCAACGGGGTTACCGTAGGAATAATGGCCGCCGAGACGAGTGGAGTGGTTACATGTGTCACACCTTGGGTACTTCCGCCAGCTTGAGTTAATACGGTTACAGTTGGTAAGGCTGAAGTGGCCACAAGACTAGTCAGAGGAATAGCAATTGGTATAGCACAGGGATGAGAAGTGTACACTTCCAGTGACGGTGATGCGGATGATATTGACGATGGTGGAGCAGGGGGTGTTGGTGTGGTTCCTGCTGTTATTGTTGTTGTTGCACATAAACCAGTCGATGTGTGGAACGGACTTTCCACTGATCCCGTTGAATCCAATTCGGAGGATTCAACACCATCTTCTGGAAAGCAATCAGGTCGAAATGGTCTCGGTTTGCTTTTCACACGCGGCATTCTGAGCTCTAAATAGTTGCCGTTTTGTCACACTCGGACAATTAACTCTTAAATGACCAAATGAGCGCTGGCAAATCGAGAAACTGATCGGAAAATCCACGATTCCTACACACCCACTCGCTCCCTCTGGCAACAAGCAACCATGGGTGTGGACACAGAGACGCACACGCGAACACACGCTTGAACATCCTCATACTGGCAAACCATGGGCGTTGCAAATGCGCACAAAGAGGGACACGTACGAGCGCGGCAGACCATCTGCAAGTCCGACGGGCACGATTCGACCCCGGGAAAGTAGAAAACTGTCTTTCGTTTGGCGATTGGTTCGATCAGTGTCTACGTGCGCACGGCCATGAACATGCGCACGCACACACACATAGCATAACAATGAACCAATCATCGGTACGTCAGCACGAGGCTCGAACGAAAGCCGATCAATGGGTTCAGACGGCATTCTGCTCTGCCCGTCCAGTCCGGGGTTGACTGAGGGCATGTGGACGGATGGGTGAACGTGTGGCATGGCTGGGTGGCAGGTAGGCGGATGGGGAGATAGACAGACAGACAGACAGAGACAAATAAAGGGGACCGTTGTACGGAATCCCTCCTCACATTTGTCCCCATAATTTCAGCAGCTGCAACTGCACTCCGACAACCAACTAGGGAGCAACAAAGAAAATTTCGGTCGATAAATCGAGGTGTGTGGCCTACATACCGAGGTTCTGTAAACGAGCCCGGTCAGGACAAACAACTGGAATGCTCATAGGGAAATCAATGGAAAGATTTTGCTTCAGTCGGAAAAGATCGATCACAAAGTATCGTGCTAAACAGTAGCTACTTAAGCGGAAAGGTCACCTCCAATCTTGAATCATGAATCAACGATTTTTTCCCCGATTTGATCGCCCGTTCTCGGATGAAAATTTGATTGAACTTGGGAAAATTCAGAATTGATCTCAACAAATTCGGGTTTACGACAAAACTGAGTCTGAGGGAAATTTTAGTATCGTTCGAATTCGAACCGGCTACCTGCTGCGCAACATTACCAGTCGTAACATGCGGATGAGTATGAAATACATCATTAATTGCTGAATGGCTGATGAAGCCTGTCAGTTCCAACTCGGAAGACAATATTATCTGAAACAGTACTATTTGATGCGATGGAAATGTTTGTGATAACCGAAAATGAGCACTGGACAGCTGTTTCGTCCTGTTTGGGACTCGTCAGCAGTGAGTGCTTTTTGTGTCCCTGTCAGGACTCGAACCGCGAAATTTCGAGTTGGGAATTCAAACCTTTACCCCTGAGCTACACGGTCGATGGTCACCATCTTGTGCTAATGGCTCAATCAATGTTAGAGTAGCAAGCTTGGATTAGTTCATTCAATTGTTAAGAGCTACCAGGCACTCCTGACGGACACAAAAGTACGCACCGCTGACGAGTCCCAAACAGGACGAAACAGCTATCAAGTGCTCTTTGTCGATTATCACAAACATTTCCACTGCATGTAAATGCATTAACTTGTGGGGAATCAACCATCTCCCAAGGAGTGAAACCCACACCCAGGACCATCAAGACCGACTGGTGCCTCTGAACAATCGAATCGGCTAATCCAAGCTTGCTACTCTAAGTACCGTTTGATATTACAGCGTCACTAGCAGTCGCTGTTAATTTCATTGGTATTACTATCATCATCATCATAGTCAAACATGTCGCGAATCGAATCTAGGCTGCTGCTCTTTGAACACATACATGGGGCTGATTACACTCACTATCCATAGTTAGGTTTTTTGATGAAACTAAGCATGTTCAAACCCAAAACCACAAAAGTTTATGTATAAAAACACTATACGGAGTTCGTTAAAAAGGTGCTGGAGAAGCAGAAAAAAGAACAGGAGGACTGACTGCGACACTCTACAGCCATCGGTTTCTGATCTTCGCATTCGGGTGAGATCCTCCAGCTGCATTTGTGTGGGCGAGAACAAGGCAGTCTGATAGCGCCATTCAGACCCGAACATCAACTCGATTCAGGTATTTTGTCTCACTCTCAGTACACCTGTAATGACTATGATTGTACGAAGTAAAGGAGCAATCCACGAGAACGTTTTCCGTTCATATTTTCTTCACAGTCAACTCTGACTCTAATTGTGATATTCCTTGCTGTTTTACTGAGCACGGTTTTCCGCTCAAGTGTATATATAAGCTGGGACCTGTTTTGACT